ATTAACGAAAGTGAAATAGTTTATACTCAGTATATTTAGAATAGCTGTAAGTACTTACCACCAGTTTCTGGATCAATTCTTTTCCCCATCACTCTTTCTATCAGGACTGTGTCAGGAGCCTCCAGGAGAACTATTAAATAAAAATCATTAAATCAATAATTAACTGACAATACCAATATTAAATCACTACAAATTTATCTCCCTCTACATAAATGCAGAAAAATTATAATGCTGTTTCACAACTTTTTGTATTACTGTTCTATCAACTTTAATTAGTTTCCTGATTCATTTTCCTTGTTGATCTGTTGAAATTGGCTCATTTATAAAAATCAATACCATTTACTTGGAATTAAAAGTATACATATGCAAAATTTAAAAAAAAAAGCCATCTTTCTTAATAAAAGGCACAAACAGCACCAACTTAAAAGTGTATCATTGGAAGTAGACAGTATTCACCAAAATGTCTTGGGTTGATTCCCTCTGCTTGAAGTGCTTGGGCCTACAAGTACAAGAGAGATTTTTTTTGCTAAGAAAACCTTTTTGAAATAGACATATTGTTTCTTTAAGAATTTATTTTAAAACCTTTTAGTGACAGTCATGTGACAATTAACATTGACAGGGAGGAAAACAAATGTATGCTTACTACATGTAGATATGGTTAAATGTTATTATTAATCTCTCAGTCACTCTGATGTGCTATTATAATTAATTATCTAAATCAATCTACGCAACAGAGCATAATTAAACCATTTAACGTCAAACCTGCTCTCTTGTCTGTGGAAAGGCTTCTAGCAACCAGCCCTGAGATACATGTAAAAATGAAGTAGACTTTAGTTTATTCATCCTTTTGATCCTTTCAGTACTGCCAAGATCTCATTAGTTATTGTCCTTACTGTCTGCTATACAATTCTTACGAAGTGAGTTTGGAGAATTTGGAATTGGATCAGCTAATAATCCCCTAACTGGTGTTTTGTTTTTTTGCTTTTGAGATTTAGCAAAAGTACAATGGTAATAATTTTTCCTCTCCTGCTGAATACTTGTGAACAAAAACTAAGAGAAAAATAAAATTTTTTTTTAAAGACAAATATGATGACTAGCAAGTATAAAACAAAAGCCATGGTGACCATGATTAAAACTGTTATTTAATGATTCAGCTAAAAATGACTTTACCTTACTGATGCAGTCTTCCTTCTGTAGTCTTTCTTTGATGAGACTGACCCAAATATGAGTAGGTACCGTCTAAAATAAAAAAGTGATAAACATTATATTCTGACCTCTGATCTGAAGAAGCACAAAGTATATCATTTCTACTAGCCCTGAATGGACTTCAAACTCCTGTACATAAACAATTTTCATTTTGAAGTTCTTTTGATTACCATTATTGACTTGATTACCATTAACAACTGATAATTCTGAAAAAAATTACATCCCCATCCCCAGTTACTTAATCCTCTTTGTGCAACCGAGTTAACAGACAACAATTAAAAGTTTCAATTTAGAGGCTTGGAGCATCAATCGCATCTCCTTTAAAGTTCACAAAAAAATTTAATGTTTACCAATTGTTCTAAATCTATAATTTTGATAAAATGATTTAATTTCCACTAAATATTAGGACAGTAGAAAAATAATTCATGACATTTAAAAGCAGAAAATTTGCATTCAAAGACTAGAGATTTGCTTTGTGTTAAATCACTTTGTTGTAACAAAGAAAGTCTGTACTCAAGCCTAATGGCCCACCTGACCAAAGTTTTTTCCAGTTTCCTTGGTATGAAGTGACTTGGAGTATTATTCCCCCCCACTGGATGGGATGCTAGTGCAACATAAGGTTACCCCCCCAGCATCTCATCAGGCTTCCCTAACAATTGGCTGGTACCATTTTATACTCTAGGGTGGAGAGAGACAATGTGACAATTCTGCAGTACCCATTTTATACTCCTAGTTGGAGAGAGGCACTGTGAGAGTAAAAGTGTCTAGCCCAAGAACACAACACATTGACCTGGCCTGTACTCAAACCCAGACCTCTCAGCCCAGATTCCAGTGCACTGACCATTAGTCCACTGTGTCTGACAAGTTATCCACAACTAATCACTGAGCTCATAGATCTCCTAAACCATCCATTTTGAAAGAAGTGAATCATTACAAACTAGATTAAATAAAAAGTAACACTAACAATACCTCTTTTGCTGATATGTACTCCTGAGCCTTAAAACAAGGGAGACAAATCATATTAGTCATTTTAAAAATCTACATGGTTAAGACTAATTTAAGAAATTTCCAATGTTTTAAAATTTTTAGTCAATCCCACATAACACAGTTCAGAGTAAATCATTTGTTCTTTGTGAGAATTCAATAAAGTAAATATTTCATATACAACCCTGAGCTGTAAGCCAGGTGGATGCAAAATCGGTTACAATTCAATTACCTTCTTTGCTGATTTTGAATCTGATTCTGCCAGGAGATTATCAAGTGTGATATGGACACAGTCAAAATGTTTTGCTGCCATCACAGACTAAACAGGAAAAAAGCTAATAAATTAACCAATTACATTAAGTTAAACATATTTTTTCATCGACTGTTGTGACACTAAAACCAAATGAAAGGCTAAAAGTAATCACAAAAACCAGTAACATTTTAAGCATTACAAGGAGCCAGTGAGATCCCAAAATTAACTAATCCAACCTATTTCAAACGTGAAAAAAGGTGTATGAACAAGTCTAAATTGTTTTGAATTTTGCATCTGATTGTTTCACCCTTGATTCCCATAGGTGATTAACAACTAACTTCTCCCCATAATATCTGAACATTTTCTTGCAAAAAGTGACAAAAAACTTGTCAGGTCAAAGTTTTTATCTTGATCTAACTCCAAATTCTTGTAACTAATTTACAAGGAAATGTCTAGCAGCTAGAGGGAAGAATTAACAATAAAGGGTTGAGAGGCACAAGTCTTCAAGACCAACCACAGAACCAGAAAAACCTGAGCCAATGCAATTCTTAAATGCTTTTGACATTTGATTGAAAACTTCCCCTATATCTGATTGATTTAAATTTTTTTTTTTTTGGTGACTCACTCCCTATGGGAGTCATCATCATCTCCCCTTCCTCATCTCCTCCATAACTGTAAAATGACTCTGCTCTATGGGACACTTAAAGGCTAGTTTCTACAGATAGATACTTCTTTATTTCACCAGAGATCAACAGTTTGATTATAAAGAATAGATGTAATAAAAAGTGTGTAGGTCTCAGGGTTAATTACCATTTTCTCAAAGGAGGCCTTTCCACATACTAGCGTGGGGTTATCATACCCTTTCAAACATTGCAAACCCAGTAGAAATCAAATATAAATATGAACTTACCATTGTTCTCTTTCCTGCTGCTGGAGGTCCATGAATAATGATCTGTGGAACTATATGATCATGAAACAATAATCTTGAGTGCAAAAGTGATACAATATTTGATTCAAGTAACATTAAGTAGAAAAACCTTTTTATTTCCTCTTAATATGCTGTTCCATCCATTTTTCCTCTCCCATGAGAAGTCAGTGGAAATCTTAGGAAGTTATTGGGTTTCAAATGCTTTTAGCATCTTTAATGGCAAGCTATTTGGTCATGAGCTTTAAGTCAAAGAAAAAAATCAGTGGGGGCAACACAAATTTTTGTATGATAGTCCTATGGTTTTCTTTAAACTAGAGAGCAAGTTCTAACCTTCACTTTCTTGTTCCAGAAGACCTATCATATAGGTCAGTGGGTCTGCAGGCTGTTCTATTATCAGTTTTGTCAGAAGGGACTAAAATACAAAACAAAATTAACTTCAATGTATTCATTTTTCATTAATTCCTCATTGCATAACCTGATGGAAAATATGTTGTATACTTAACCCTTTTACTTCCAAGATCTCACTAGTAATTCTCCTTACTGTTTGCCATACAATTCTCATGATGTTTTTCAGAGAATTTTGTATTGGATCAACTTATAATTTTCTATTACCAGTAATTCTTTCTTTATTCCCATCACTTGTCAGTGCTTGATGTTGCATTAGATATTGTAAAGAGAAATTCGGTCTCGGTCACTCACGGATTAAGACATCTGGGAAAGCTTCTCATGCTCAAAGATGTTATGTGACTTAACAGTAATAACATGGTATGGCCCAGTTGGCAGAAACTCTGACTTTGTACATGAGTGTGTAGCTGCAAAGTTGCAGGTCAGGGTATTTCACACATACACTAAGGTCTCAACAAACCAGCCCAACCTTATGTGCACTTCCTATTTCAAGGAAAATGACAGAAGCAATTAAGTCTCACTAGCAATTACCACTGATATACGGGTTTGTCTCATGACACACCAATTGTAAACAAGCTGATGATACCGTATCATTGCAGCTACTGGGGAGACTTGGTGCATGAAAACTGTTAAGGCTGCGTTGAGCAAATGAATTTGAGCTTGATTTTCAAAATTTCGCACTGTTTCAATGTTAAAATTGTCATTGTGAATGATGAAGGGAGGTCAAAACGTAAACATTAGTGAATATACAGAACCAAATTATGCCTACTTTAAAATCTTAGGCATAACTTTGAAATGACTTTTATTTGGAACACACCCTGGCCTAGAGGCCCATCAAGAGTTCAGCCCTGACGTGAAACAGAAGATCTACTGCTCTTTTCAATAAGATCTCAGTTACTTAGGGGTTTCAGCGACCAGATTAACAGAAATTGATCTCAGGATACTGATCCGGGCTTGTTCGGTTAAACTCTAAGGCATTATTTGCCGATAAAAATAATATGAGAATTTGAATCTTCGACGCAGTCACGAACTTTTACCAGTCTCTCACCTCATAAATCTGAAAAATACCATGTTTTTCAGCATAATTTGAGAATTCAGGTGGAATTAACAATGGTTTCTTCGTTGCATCCATCTTGAATTTTCCCTCTCAGTTGCTACGATAAACAAGAAGAGCCTGCAGTTCCTTACTCCAGCAGCACGGATTTGGCGTCCATAGCAACTGTGCGGATATATTCATAACTCGCGTTACAACAGATGATCGCTAAATGGAAGGTCATCGAAAATCATAAGATAATTCCGTGAAATCTTTTCTTATAGAGAGGTTATAATCTGTTCAAAAGGTATGTAATTGTTTTCTTAAAAGTAATGAACAAAACGTTTTTGAAAACCGTCATGATTTCGACGAAAGTAGATCGCACTTTTACTTCGCGTATTTCCGCGCGACCTGATATCGGGTTTACAAGCAGAGTATGCTACAATCTGAGATACGGACTACAGAAGAGGTCTGTCGATTTTAAGGCTGTCTTTCTATATTTGAAGATTCAGTTTGTTTAGGCTTAGTTGTGAATAATGTGGAAAAAAAAGACGGGAAACCTAAGGAATAATTTTGTGGAGATCATATTTCATGTTGGCTGTCGCACATTCATTTTGCTGTGTAAACAAATATTCTTTTGTAATCAAAATCAACAGTAATCTGGCATGCAGTTAGAAAGAAACAAATATACATTTTTTTTTTAATTCTTACCTGTAAAACGCTCTGAGGTTGAGCGAGTAAACTTAGAATCTAATTCCAAAAATGTTTTGTGAGGTCGTGAGATGACCTGTGTAAACAATGTTACCCCGATCTTGAGCAAACAATGGGTTTCAATTTTCGAAATCGTGTGAAATTACGCCCCGCTGATCTCCCCTACATTCCGTACTCTTGGTAGTTTTAGGGCTAAAAGAAAAATTCAAGATGAGCAAGGACTATGTTACGCTGGGTGTTCAACGAGAATCTCTGATAAATAATCCTCTTCTACAAAAGGTAACAACCACTTTACATGTATTGCCTCTTTTTTGTTTCTACAATCGACAAGAGTTATCAGGGGTCATTTGAGGGGGAGGTGGTGTACAGCAGCTTGCAAGTGATAAAATGGTTGAAATACTAGTGCAAGCTTCAAATGGACAATACCCAAACAAAACGTCTCAAAGTTTTTTACTCAGACATGCTCATTATTTCCCTTAGGATGTTCAAAGAGGGTTGGGGGGGGGGGGGTGGATGGGGTAGATGCAATTCAGATCTTAGCCTGAAGTGTTTCTTGGGAATTTCCTGTAATGCAAATTGTGTTATTTTCCTGGACACTTGGGCCATATTTCTATGTGATCATCTGCATCATCCCAATCATTCCTGTTTTCTAGACAACTGAGACAATACCAGCAATCATATGGAAAGCAGCCTAAAGCATAAACTCTGTTCAGTGTAGAAATTTCCCTTTGTCATGTTTTCTCTTCCATTTATTGTGCCTGGTTTCCTGGTGATCACTGCATTACCAAACTGCATTATCATGGAGAAACCAGAGCTTTTTTTGTCAAAAGGTGGAGTGGTGTTGTGAGGATTTAATTATATCATGAGTATACCTAATGCAAATCTTTTGCCATTATTTCATAAATCACAATTTCTTTCAAGTCTATTTATACAAGCAATATAATACTTTCTAGTCTGAACTTGGAAGACCACTGCGGCGTTGCTTTACCCTTCCCCCTGATGGGTTTACTTATGGAAAGCCAAATGAAGGAAAGGACAGTGGTGCCGCTGATGGTAAGTACATTTACACTCCACTACTGAGCTCTAGCTTGTTTACAACTGTCCCCTACCCTCCAAAGAAAAATTGGGAGGGTAGGGGCGAGGCTGCACAGAGGTCATTAAGCTCAAAATTTACCATAATATTTTACTCTCAAAGGTTACACTTTATAAGTTATATAATCGTTGTTGCATTGTTATACTAATTCAGTGGTTACACTACAAGTGCATTTTTTTTCTCTTTTAGCACTTGTATGGAGGTCTGCCCCACTGGCTCCCCTCTATCTTAAGGAGAAAAAAGCTCCAAGAGATTTTATTGGATTAAATAAAGGTGCAGTTCAAGCCGGCCTTACAACAGCTCATGAACATTTTCAGTACCGTGCCACACATGACATGAGGAGGAAAGACTCTGGCAATGAAAAGACATCATTGAAAGTTAAAAGAATCCCACCTACAATGGTCTTTGGTATTCCTACAAAGTATGTTTAACTTATTGAAATAAGGCCATGTCTCAAAATTTAACAAAACATAGTCAGATAATTTTTGGTTATGTTTTAAAATGGGAAAGCGATAAAAGCTTGTGTTTCTTAGATCACTTTTTTCTGTTATTCGACTACTCACTATAATCCAAAAATGTAAACCTGAAATTATGGAAATGGTTTGTTATGTAGGTTGTTTATAATTATGAAATAGCTCACAAAATGAGTAACCACCTCACATCAGAAGTAGTTTTTTCTCATTATTAATAAAATTTGAATTGTCTCTATGTAGGCCTTCCACTCCAGTTTATGATCTTCTGGGACATAAATATCAGGACCGCTGGATAGAAGAAAGACGGAAAGCTGAGGGAGCAGCTAGAGCAAGGCAAGAGCAGAAGGTATTATGCACAAATGAACAGTTTTCTGTGTTTTAGTTTCAAAATTGTACCTAAATTCTTTAAATGTACTTCCAACTCCTATTTTGAGGCATACAGTAAACAGCTCATAAAAAAAGTATAAACTTAACGTTATGCCATCAAGTTGACCAATTTTTTGTCGTTTTTGTTGTTTTTGTCTCCAGAGACACGTTGATAAAACCATCTATGAGACAAGGACTTCACTGCTTAGAAAATACCAACCCCCTGTGGATCCATCTCCACTATGGCACATGAAGAAGTTTGAAAAGGTAATTGTTTAAGTTTGTAATATATAGTTTACTGTGACACTAGTACATACACTGCATATGGCCTTTCCTTAATCCTTCTCAGCTTATTATTGCTTCACCAGACTGAAACATTTATTCAAATTGAAAATATTATTTTAAGTTACAGTTAACATTGATGAGTCTGATTGATATAATGCTAATTTAGGTTAGCATACAGCCAGAGAAAAAACCAAAAACTCTATGAACTGCTAAAATATCTTGAGGCTCCATTGTTTTCTGAAACTGACAGTATTTTAAAGTTTTTCATTATGAGAGTTCATAGATGAAAACTCTCTACAATGAATGATATGGCAACTGAAGCCTAGAAAAAAATCAGTCTACGAGCAAGCCCTCCTAATAATCACTACTAGACATGCATTTGTCTTCCTAAAGAAAGATTTGAGATGAATCTGAAAGAGGTGTGGCATTTTCTGTGCTACATGTGGACCCCTTTCAGACCTGTTGTCAGCATATATTGCTCAAGGTTTCAGACTTTCCCACAGGCAAACAGAGTTTTTACCCTTTTTCAGAAACAAATTTCAAGGACTTTTCCAGGACTCCAATTGATTTTTCTAGGACTCTAAATTTCACCTTAAAGCCTTTCATTCCCTAGATTTCAAAATCAATTCTCCTTACATACATTGTAAATTTATACATTACTGAGAATGTAAATTCTGAAAACTTTACTGCTCAAGATCAGCAAATTTCCAGTACTTTCCAGGACCTCCAGTCTTTTTCTAGGACTTTCCAGTGCAAGAGAAATGTCAAATAAAATCCCAGAACTTTCCAGGTTTTTCAGGACCTGTACAAACCCTAGCAACACTCAAAACCCTAGGAACACTCATGCTGGAGTGCTAAAAATGAGTACCTACTCACTGGAAAGCTTGCAAGGAACATTTAACCCCTAAGAGTGACTAACATCTAATTTCTCCTTACAACATCACTACTAAATCAAACATTAAGGTCATGAGAATAAAGCAGATCACCAACTAAAGAAGCTATTGATTATTGAACAAATTCTCCTCATCAGAACCCTACGAAATGTCTAGAAAGTAGTATGGAGAATATGCATACTGATGTTAGGGAGTACAGGGTTAAGGGACCTTTTACAATAAGTCAGTTAATTTGTCTTGTTATTTTCTCCTGAGTCAATAAACAGTTGAAATTGTCTCCACAGATCCCAGCTTATCTCAGCACCTTTAGATCAGATCAAGCTAAAGATTCTGCTTTCAAACACCATGCAACAGACAGCACCTCACGACAGGGAGTTTTTGGTCATGGAATATACGAACCTGCTAAGAGCTAAATACCAAAACAACAATTTTCATCACGTTTAACCTTTAAAAAAAAAGAGTGGACAAAACATTTTTAAAAATATTTTAAGTTATGATTCCAAAGATGACTTAACCCAAGAGTGAAAATCAACTTTTTTTTTCCATCAAGAATCTCCTAGAAGTTTTTTGAGCATTATTGTTTTATGATCACTCAAAGTTTTGTGCCTGTAAGGACTTGGAAAAAAAAGCAACCTGGAACCAAAGAGCTCTTTTCAGATATGAAATGGTAATTTTATTAGCACATACTGAAAAAAGTGCAAATGAATTTTATTTGTACCCTTTGATTCTCAATCGATAATCTCAATAAGTAACAGAGTTACACAAAGTCTGTTGCTGCTCAACATTGTTCACTGAAAAACAATTATTTTTCCTCTTGCAACTGTTGTTTACAAATAAAAACAATTGATGCACATCTTGCCTTTAATAAATGTTTTGTAAATACTATCCACAAGAATAAAAAAGATTGAGAGAATGAATAGATTTCCATGTATCAGGCTCTCATGAGTAGACAGCTCTACAAGTCAGATACTTAGTTGTAAAAAAAAATGGAACAAGAGGCATGTTTTGTCCAGTCGATAAGATTGCAACTGCATGCTTTATATAAGTACCATTATGTTCAACTATCACTGCTCGAATTTTGCTTTCTTTTGAGATGGTTCTTGTGAAGTCTCTCCCTTGTCTAATGCTTTCTCCTGTTTCAAAGGTGATTTTTTGAAGTATGAAAATAAAGTTCCTTTAATAGGCTTTTCTTGTTTTTGTGTCCTTAAAAAGAAAAAAGAAATACCTTAAATTTTACAGCAGCAACAACAAACATTTCATCAAAAGCCAGTTACCAGCAGTCTATTGCTACCAGTTTAGCTTACATGCAGGCTCCCATGTTGGGGTTTTGCCTCACCACTTCTTTTCTGGGCACAGTCACCTGCATTACACCATCAACAGCTGCTTATGAAAAAAGTTATTGAACACCCTGCTGCAATCTTGCTCAATTGCAGTAGGGACACTTTTGTTATTACTCCCAAAAGCTTGACCGAAATGTGAACTTTATCTGTTGTAAAAATCACTCACATAACAAGATTCCAGCCTCTTCTACTTCCCCTCCCCAAATAATTTTGAAAACAAGTGCTGCTTTTCTTAATGTTTCTAGGATTCTTCCCAACACTGGAGAGGGAGAGAAGTACTGTTGACTACAAAGTCACTAGCTCAGACAAAGGGCTAATGCTCAAAACATCAGCTTTGTTACTCTTAACAGTGGCCAAATTGTGTTATCAACTCAGTTGATAATTATACTAAATTACCCAGTTTTTGGAATGTGTTCATTTTAAAGTATTTTGTCCTAAGTGTCCCAGTTTTGTTGAGGATTGAAACAAAAAGAAATAGAAGAAAGTTCTTGGTAAAACTTTTGTAAAAAATATAAATCACTGAATATGTAATGGTGTTACTTACAAGTCAATTGGCTTGATGCAGTCTGGTGATTTATTCCTAGAATTATTCACAACTGTAGAGACTGGATGCCACTCCAAACAATCTTTGGGTTTTACAAGGTTTAGAGCCTACCATAGAAAACAAAGTAAATTCTGTTAAAACTAGATAGGGCTTACTGATTTCAAGAGTACATTTAAATTTCTCAATATAATTTTCAATGGTACATAATTATTTGGCACCTGTGAATTACCTTTTGCCATGGAACTTCTCCAAAGTCTAGCCAGCGGCCAATCTCTTCTTCCCCCTCTAGAATAGCCTTCAAACAAGAAGAGAAAAATATCAAGTAGAGAGATTATCAGTTGATCCAATACTGAATTCTCCTAACTAAACTCCAAAGAATTGTATGGTCAATAGCAATGAGAATCACTAAATAAAATGAGATCTTGGTGGTGAAAGGGTTAAGATGCACTGATTGTAATATGGACACAGGCCTTGCCTCCATAATATAGCTGTGAAATATATGTGTATTCCAGTAAGGTAGTAAACACTGTAATCATGATACACGATTGTAGAATCAAATTCATAGTAACAACTGTTAAATGAAAATTCCAACTTTAAGAGATAGTCAGTTAACAAGCTGATATCAAAAATGTAGTTAGTGATTAAGAGAGCCTATACCCAACCACAAGACCACTAGCTGCCTTTTAAAATCTAAGTACAACTGATTTTGTAAAAAAGCAAGAATAAAAACTTCTGACTTTCTTTTAGTTGTAAATTAAAACATATTTTCTTTATTGAAAAACTTGGTTGAATTTGCTTAATTTTGAGATAAAAGGATATATACTAAACATTACTCACTGGCATTCTGTTGTGCAGCCATCTTAGAGATGGAGATGAATCCACTGTGATGATAGTATAAGAAAAGAGTTCTTCATCTTCATTACCACTTCCCTAGCGACAAAATTAAAAGAATTCTGACTTGCATTTCTGCTTTCAATTCCCCCTCTTTAACATTGTTCATTCTATCCCAGATAAAGTTTCAGGCTAGTTAACCCCTTAAAGCCTAGGAGAGACCAGCATCAAATTTTTCCTTACATAAATACTGCTAAATCATTCATTGGGATCATGAGAATCACAAAAATGATCACCAACCTAAGAAGCTCGGATTGTTAAACAAATCCTCCTTGAAAGTACCAAAGGAAACGTAAAGAGAAGTATAGAGAATATAGATACTGATGTTAGGGTGTAGAGGGTAAGACAATAATTTTTCCCTTACCATCACACTGCTGAGAATGTTATAGAACTTTTAATATCTAGCAGTGACTAGAAATTAATTTCTATACAGCCGATGAATCACATACATTTGGTGGCTTCCAACAATCAAACAAGCCTGCCATGGTTAAGAGACGCTTCTCTCCAAACTGTGCGTCTTCTTCTGCTTTGACTGCTATGGATTCCTCTGGTTCCTTTTTAATGTGAAAACCTTTCACATCTGTCTCCTTTTCATTATTGTTTTCTCCTTCAATCTCTGTCATTGTTTTGTTTTGTACTTCTATCTTTGTGTCTTTCTTGAGGTAGATGTAGTATGGCTGTTTCTTTCCTCCCTTCAATGTCTCCCACTCAAAGAATCTGTTGATGAAAAAAATTTTACTTTTAAAGCACTACATATTGGTCTGAATTTATTCTATGAAACACTTTTCTAATTTGAGTCCAAAATTATCAGAACAGTATTATTTATTAGGTAACAAGTAAGCCATAGCTGTGTCTTAACAACAGTCCTATTTCCTGATACTTTCTAATCACATTATATGGTATAGCTCCTGGAAGATAGGGTACATGGGCATAATTGGACATGTCAATCACATCCATAAGAAATTTGGGGCAGCAGCTAGGTCTGAATAAAATATAGTCAGTAATCTGGTAAACACTTTTTTAACCCTTTCACCCCTAATGGTGATTGGCATCTAATTTCTCCTCACAATATCACCCCTGAATCACACAACAAGGTCACAAGAAAGAAGGAAATGATCACAAACTAAAGTAGCTCTTGATTTTTCAATAAATTCTCCTTGTCAGGACCTTAGGATATGTATGGAGAACAGTAAGGAGAATATGCATATTGATGTAATGTTGTAAAGGGTTAAAAACAAGAAAAAGAAAGAAAATATAAGGTAACCACTCCACTTTGGTTCAGTTACTTACCCTTCAGCTAAAACAACGCATCTGTTACCCTTCTCTAGAGGAGATTTGAAAGATCTTTTGTCCAACAGAGTATCACTACGAGCATTGCTCATATTGTAGGTGAACTCTTTGGGATCTCCACGGTGCCATGATGGAATTAAACCCCATCTCATGGGTTGAAGAACCCTTTCACAAGGCTCTTCTGATGCTAAACTGTTAAAATGTTGACTTGACAGTAACACTGGACTAAAAAATAAGAAGGCATTCATTCAGTTTATCAACAAGATAGATCTGCAACTACATGTAACCTAGGATAACCATTGGCTTAAAATTAAAATTATAGGTGTTGAGTAATCTTGACTTACATCCTCTCTCGGAGGGAGAAACATTACTTTTGGTTGCTTCATAGTACAGCACCAGGATAGGCAATGGCCAGATAGGTCATGGGGCTGGACTACAGACTTAACTTAAATCAGTTGGTGTTGTATCACAAATCCTATGATCTGATAGGCTAAGCTGCTCAATATCCAATTTATGATAGTGAGTTGAGTGAATTATGGTCAAGTCACCGACAGTTCAACTTGTCAACGCCAAGAAGTAAAATTGAGGAGGAACATCGACGAGCTAGTCTTCAATCCAGTACAACTTATTAGAAGTTAAACATATAGAAAAGTAAAAGATATTTAGTACAAAAACAATTTTTTTTCTTCATTAAAAGGATGTCAAGGCAAATAAAGCAAGGTGAATATTGCCAATGACCAAAAAAGACACAAACAAATTCTTGTGAAAAATAAAATTTAAAAAAAATAAAAATGGAAATCAAAAGAATTGTTTTTTACTAAAGATCCTGTCTAGAAAGCCAACTTTTCTGAAAAAAATCTGACCGATTGACATGATGAGTCTTTACAGTGTTGTTGTCACACAATAACTCCTTCGTGTCTGAAGCTTTTATTGTCATTGGCAATGTTTACCTTGCTTTATTCGCTCTGAGATCCTTATAAACTTTGTTGGAAGAAAACAAATTGTTTTTTTACTTAAGATCTTTTACTTTTCTATATGTTTAACTTCTAATAAGTTGTACTGGATTGAAGACCAACTTGCCGACATTTCTACTCAATTTTACACGTCAGCGAGTTGGTGTTGGCAAGTTGAACTGTTGGTGACTTGACTAGATACCAGTTAAGTGAGTAGCATATCAGTCAGCAGTTGTAGAGAAAAAAAAAAACAAGGAAAACATGAGTCTGTCTCATTGTTCAGTTTTTGACAAATGGTAGAGTTAAACTACTCTGATTAGATTACTTGAGTAAGTATACCATCAATCTACATAATGCTGATCTCTTTTGCAAGAACTTTAATTGTTCATTGAAGAAGGAAGCAGATGTCCTGCAGAGTAACCAGGTATGTTTACCAGCCACCAGTTCTCATACTTAAAGCCCACTGTCTGACTACAAGAGAATTTACTTAACTCTAAAAGTCAGTTTAGCACTGTGCCTAATTTCATTAAAAACTGGTGATAGATGTTTGTATTACGTGCATTTTGTGTGGGTGGAAGGGTGCAATGGCCAAGGTAAAAATGTGTCATGGAATTAGTTAAATGACCTCAAAGGATCGGGAAGATACGTTTTAAGTATAATACAGTACTTCAAAAAAACAGATTAACCAAAGCAACAAAGTCGATGGGCTTAGTTATGTTGTATCCTTGAAGCTTCCTTTCTTGTTTCGTCAGAGCTTAACAGAGCTCATTCAACAACAGACATTCCTTGCATTTTTAGAATGTATCTTTTTCAAAACCCATTTAATCATCATAAACAAAAAACAAACTAATTTAGTATGTCATAAAAACTTACGTGAAGGATTGCGGACTAATATTGTGGGAAGGATAGTATTTTCCTCTATTGAAGCTACCATCTCTCCAAGCCGGTTCCTGGATCTGACCATTCTTTCCTTTGAATGTGCATGCCTTCGGGAATTCATCAGGAGCAAGGGTACTGAATGACAAAAGAAAATAGAATCTTAATCACTTGTTTGTTCGGAAATAACTTCACTTCCACGAATCATCTATTTTTAATATTGACAAATTTACATACATACCAGGCCGTTCTCCCACACATTTTGAGCAAAATCACCCCAAAATGTGCCAAATAGTGGATTAAATAGTTTCCTACAATTCAAGGGATGAAGGTAACTGCTTCTAAGAGTTAGCCTTTGCTCTCCTTTTCATTAAATTTTGGCGCGTTTTATGCCCGTAGGGTCAGCGGTCTACCACGAAATGCTTCCTTAAGCTTTTTTTTTCGATTTCCTTTCGTTATGCTCCAAAAGTGCTCATTAAACCCAATCACTGAAAAGTAAATTGCTCATGGTAGCTCAAAAACACCAGGCTGTTGTTAGATTCTATAGCCAACTTGATCGAGAAATACCGCGAAAATAGCAGAATATTGTGTAAGACGGTCTTGTCACGTGTGAAATTAGCCACCCAAGAGCCTGTTCGAGCTACGGATGAACTTCTTTGGTTGTTATCCGTACTTTGGTATCCGAGACTTTTCAACGATTCTTTTCTACTTTTGAACAATTTTTGTAGAACACATTGCTTTTTAAATAATTTTATATATACTTATCATTGATAAGAGCTCATTACTTGCATTGGTGACCGTTTCTAGACCGTTGTTCAGTCTCCAAGTGCCTGTTTAGTTGTTTACTTTAAGCTTTGCCGAAAGCTATGGCCGGTCATGGTTGAGTTCCACAACTTTGTTGAAGACTGTTGCAAATCTCCAGGCATTACTTTGCATCCATCGATAAAGAATGAGTCAGGGAGGAGTCATTATGGTAAGAAAATCATAACAGTAATGAGCATTTGGAGAATTTTCCCATGTATTTCATGTGATGCAAATAGTTGATGCATTATCTTGCAGTACGATGGAGGCCGAGGAAGACGAATTAGTAAGGCAGAAGACTATAACGCCAGTATGAAAAGGTCTGGTTCCGAAACGCTTCTTAAAACGGATCTTGAACAGTCCAAAGAGGCAATTAAAGCTGAAATTCGCAAGCAGCTTAAGTTAAAAGAGGGAGCAGAAAATTTAAAAAAGGTTGCCACTGACAGGAAGACTATCGCCCAATGCAATACAATTTTAAAAGATACTACAGCTAAACTTCAAGATTTGCACGACGATCTTCAAGACCTCAACGCTCGAGTCTCTGAAGACATGCCAGGTGAGTAAATAAGTTGTTGGTATAGATAGCAGATACAATATTACTGAATGCATGGCATTCCGTGACAAGTTGGACCTATTAACAAGCTAAATCATTTTGATCCTTCGCGAAATCGTTTCCTTTGCAACGGTAAACTCAAGCATCATTCGTCGCATTGCTTTCGAATTTCAATTATCGTGGGATTTGATTGTAAGCAGCTCAGAAAAAAATCGTTTATTTGGTAGTACTTTAGATAGTTACTTCTAATTACTGGTGTATTTGTGGCGAGATAAACTCTCGCTGAACAACATATAAGAAGTACGCGCTCGACCAATTACTATATTTTTAGGCCAACATATGTCAGTTGGAATGCAACGTTTTTGTACATGGTTGCACTTGTTGCTTAAAATACAGTATAATATGTTCCATTCGACTTTCCACAGCGAAAACATTTCGCTTCAGAGCCAGAAACTTGCTATATTTTGATGAGTGCATTTTCGTCACAAGGAATGGTTGAAATTTTTGAGCAAAGTGTGTACAATGAAATCCCTTGATGCGTGGCGGAAACAAACCTCGATTTTGATAACTCAACGAAAAAGCTTACTTAGCCGTAACTTTGGATTTCAAAACTTAATAGTAACCTTAATCCAACATAATATATTATAATATCATCTCGGGAGTGCGCCGGATGGTGCGTATCACAACGTACACTTAAACATCGTTAAAGTATTTAAATGGTCACCCTGTGGGATTGTTAATTTTTTATGTACATGTCGCCGTAAACCCTTGGAAAAAGTTACGGGTTTTAAGAGCGTTATTCTTTGATAACCGCTAGACTATGACGCTTGGACTCGTTGTTTTCGCCACCGTCAAGTGGCTTTAAATATTTGGGTCTTTTCGGTTGCGTTTGTGACAACAACCAAGGATTGTTTACATTTGATCGAAGGAAAATCCTTTGTTTGCTTTTTCCTTCTTGCGATGAGCTTTTCTTATCGTATTCTTTATCCTACTGTGCAAATCGGGAACTGTCTGGCTGGTTTTTTTTCCTTCAGCTGCATTTGTTTATTGTTCAAATCCTTGATGAATTTTATCTAGAGTGCTTGAAAGAAATTACCTGTTTCCGCAAGGGTTATTACGAGTAAAACAACCACTTGGTAACAATAGTTGACAGATATCCTGTGATTTTTAGATCAAAGAGCTGGTATTGTGTTTCTCGACATTTTTGATTCAGTTTTAAAATTGCAAGTCTATCCATCTTTGATTGGTTACTTTCTTGGTACAATATTTGTTACTCTCCAAGAGTTTGACATTTTTAGACATAATAAATGTACTGGCATGAGTTTTAAGTTACAGTCTCTGTCAATTAGATTGGAGATTCTGATTTCCTTGAACATATTTTGAAGTTCTTGCCAGGATTTCCTTCATCTCACTTCTGTGTGATTGAGAAATTAATTCAAGTGATATTTGCAACTCATTTCAACAAAATGTTTGGATTGTCCAACATGATAACCTTAGTTTATGTAAAATACACCAAATTAACAAAATTTACCTGTTTTGTCTGTTGGATAAAATTTCTCTTATCATCTTTTCATGCTCTTATCTGCCATGGCCCATTGACTTAAAGCCCTAGATTATTAACAAAATCCCTCAAGGGAATTTTGATTTTCTATGTTGTTTTCTCCAATTCATTGAAAGAGGATTGTACTTGTACTTGTATACCATTTCAAGTCCAGCAATGATCTTGAAATTAAATGAAATATATTTTGACCTGTGAATGATATATAAATAAATAAATGATCCATGCCGATGAGCTGCAATTAAAGAATTACAGAAAAGAAGTAAAAAAATCTAGGCTTTTGTGATGGAATTATCTTGTCTAGTGGCAATACTTTGTTGATAACAGAAGCCAGTTGTTGTTAAGAGTGATACCAAATTTCCTATCAAAGACTATGAAATTTGTACATTCTTTTTATAAAGTTTTATTGAGTTGGACTTACATATATTTACATATATTGTCTTCTTTGAACAGTTTATACATACTCAATTTGTTGATGTATAAATTCTCAAGAGACTTATGCTCCAGAAACTAAATAATTTTTTTCTCCACTATGAGAAATTAGATGCAAAACTACCTTTCACTGTTGTTTTGACAGTTGCTGCTCTGATTATTGCAAAACTGAAACAGTTGCATGCACTGAGAAACTGAACCTGAGCACCAGCTTTACCTATCAGAACAAAAGTAATTATGGGAACCAAAACATAGTAGGAAAATGTGTATTTACATTCTAAACTGGAGAGTTTTCTTCTGGTGATGGATTCACTAGTGATAAATTTTTTTTTTGGCAGAAAAAAATATTTTTGGGCATCTGTAGCTGTACCTTTCTCTGACTCTCTAATGTTAGATGGTACACACCCTTTGTTCCAAGATCCAATGCAAGATCAAGTGCAATTCTGTAATGCAAGTTTTAATCACAGTAGCCATGTTTATACCAAAGCTTTCTCTTGCACTCTGAAAGTAGCTAAATCAGCAAAATCAATTTATTGAAGGAAGTTGCCCTCTCATGATATGACTGTTTCTTTGCTATGACTTTTTCTACAGTGGACAATGAAGATGTCCTCTCTCCTGACAAGACAGATGGTGTGTCAAATGAACCAGCTATAAATGGCAAAATTGATTCATTAAAAAAGCAAATTGCTGTGGAGATGAAAGTAAAGCAAGGTGCAGAGAATATGTTAGCAATGTACAATGCTAGTGGATCAAAGAAGAAAGACACCAAACTTATTGCAGAAGCTCAACAAATGCTGGAAGACTCAAGGACAAAGATAGAAATTATTCGAATGGCACTACTACGGGAGCAACAGCAAGGACTGATAGGAAAGGAGGATGGAGTAGTGTCAGGTGGCGCAGGTGGTAAAGAGAATTCTGCACCAGGATTAGGACTCTCTCCTTTGGAATTAAGAATAGAAGATGTTCGTCATCATATTGAAATTGAATCTAGAGTAATTCATGGTGCAAAAAACATGATTAAGTTTTTACAAAAGTCTGGTCGTGATAGGAAAGGTTTAGAGGAGGTAAGTAGTTTTTATTCTAAAGAAAGTAAAAATGTATGATGTTAGTAGGACAAAAGTTGACAAATTTTGTGCCTTGTTTGAAAAGTAGTGCATTCCCAGAGTCATTTCTAAGACTACAGAGTAAAACAGCTTACAACAACTCTCAACTGCAGTAGCATCAAGAAGTCCTATCAATTTTCCTACTGGTTACCATGCAGGATTTGATAAACTTCATCAGTTTCAATTTCAACACAGGGCTTCTATCTCCAAGAATACTAGAAGGAGAGATGTGTCTTGATTTAACTGACTGGAAACTTTCCCTGCCTTTCCCATTTGTTGATTGCAGTCAACCAATATTTGTCTGACAATTCCTTATATATCAAATACCTTTGATCATAAGACTTCAGTATCTGATAATTAATTCTTACAGTAATGTTAAAAAGACAGTTAACTGTGATGATTATTTAACTTGGGCTTCCTGGAAAAACTTAATTTGCTTCTTTGCTAAGCTTGGAAAGGAGAGTCACACTGTAGAGTTTATTGGCTCAATCTATTGAAAGTTATTCAAGAAATCTTGCAATTGCATTGCAATCCTCAAAGGGGATGATGACCACATGATAACTTCAGATGTAGGTCATATGGTGTGTACTTAGTTGTGAATGTTAAACAAGTTTCACTGGGGACTCTAGGATTTCCTAAAGGGGAGGAAAACCTCATTCATCCTCTTGATCTTTATACCGATTCTCCCTGCTTTCTCAATGTGTCCTCTTCTAGCTGGCGAAGGGGTTAGTTAGAAAAAAGTAAATAACATTTTGCTTTTGTTTGTTTTTTACCTAGGTTGAGAGGAGGTTTCATGAATCAAGTCAAAAACTAGACTTACTTCAGTGTTCACTTGCGAGACTTATGGGAGAACTATCTCCTGAACAGGCAGCTGTAGGTATTTATATAGATAAAGACTATGTAACAACACCTCCATCTTATGCTGACCGCAAGGCTGTTGGCTTGGGAAAGCAACAATACACAGCAATAACTAAACCAGCAGCGCTGACTGGAGAATTATACGTAAGTATGCTAAGCCACAGTTTTATTGAAAGAGTAGAATTCAGTTTGACCATTACTGAGTGTGTGACATGCAAATATGGGTAATGAAAATTAAGGCCCTTGAAGAGGTGTTTATTCCTATGAAATGTGGGGCAAAGGCAAAATTT